TCCATTCACCCCAGAACGCTTATGCTCCAATACATCTGTTAGTCTTAAAGGTGCCACAGGGCTCTCTGTTGCTATGTATATTTTGGTTGTTAAAGGTCTCAATCAGACTGCCCCCATAGGCTGATACAGTTGCTCCCCCAGGATGTCATGAGGAGCAAACACTACGTGCTGAGAAGTCTTCCCTTAAGTGGTCCCTGAAGGGTGGGACTGACTAGGAGAACCAATCGATCCGTGTTTTATGCGCTTCCTTTCTGTCGTGCTAGAGAGGGAACGGTTCAGACTAGCTGGTCTGGGTGAAGGTGTTGTACTTGTCAAGTCTTGCTTGGAACTAGTGCAATTGTAATAATAGGAGGCCATCTGTGTGGAGGAGGAGGAGCATTCCAGGCGCATACACCCGGTGGGAGTACTAACCGAGTATAAATATCACCTACACGGGGACTAAAACTCGGAACATTGTGCCTGGATAGATGTTAAGGATGTGGGTGGATTCAGGATTTCTGAATTTGATGGGGGTTCCGTTAATAACGTGTATCCTGTTTGAAGGGAACAGCAGTTTGGGGAAACAATGAGATCTGCTTTCTTTTCCTTCGGACTGGCTGCGCATTAGCAGTAATGGGAGGCTCAAGTCAGGACTTCAACTTGTCATCAAATCAGTCTCCTAACAGCATCCTCTGGGGCTCGAGTGGAGGGACCAGTTTGTAACTTCTACATCGCCTGCAGCATAGAGCTGGCTCCACATGTCACTGGCTGCGGGTGGGGTAGCGGAGGAAAGACCCGACTTGCCCTGTCACAGGTGCCGAGATTTTGTGTGTGTGAGAGAGAGGGGGGCTGGCTGGCTGCGGGCAGAGTGTGATACACGCAGCCTCGGGAAGGGTGGGCCTGGCTGGATATTTCAGCCAGACACTCGCCACCTCTCTGAACGAGCAGATCCACGGAGATCTAGAGCCCGAGGGGAGGGGGGGGCAGCGGCCTCCACTCCACCACCTTCCTTGGGGTGCGGGAGAAGCAGGTCTTCACGCTTAGTTGCCAGAGATTTGGGGGAACCAGTTCTCTAGGACAGCTGGCAGGGATCAATGCACCCGGTCATCCGCAGCCAGCAGGCTCTCAATGAGATCGGCTGTCTTCTACCCGTGCCTGCGTGGCAGCGGCCATTTTGCGCACGGACTGGTGTGGGCTCCGTACTGCGCCGGCGCAAGCGATGCGGGCGGAAGCAGGGCTGCCTGGAGGGGGAATCTGGGGACAGTGAGGGCGGAAGCGGTTCCGCTGTGAGCTGAGGCTGGTCCGCCAGTGGGTAGAGGGGCGGTTTCCGCATCAGCAGCAGGCTCGTCCGCGGTGGTAAACAGCAGCCCCCGCCCATAGTGTAAGAGAGCGAGGTGGCGGCTGGGGGGTGCGGGCCTGTCCGCTAGTAAGTGAGCCTGGCCGGGGGTGGGTGGCACGGGACGGGACTCCGTTGCTGTGAGCTTGGCCTGGCGGTCGCGCTGGGTTTCTTGGCCTTTGAGGGCGCTGTGAAGTGCGGCCCTCCTGCCTTGGCTCGCTGGGTGGGCTAAATCCTGGCTCCCAAGCTGGGGACCAGAGATGGGGGGACGGGGTCTCCGGGGTCTAGACGAAGCTGCGCCCCACTGTTGTAGCTGCGGCAGGCGGCCCGCAGCCCCTCGCGTTCCCCAAGCACCTGGTGATGCACGAGCAGGAGGCGCCCTAACTCTCCCAGTAGCTCCCGTGTTCGTGTGTGTATTATACCTGATAGTGATGCTACCAAGCGCAGGACAGACTCACCCAGTTCTTGACTTGGCAGATTTACAAGATCTTTAAAATTGTCCAGGTTACTAGTCCCAGTTCTTTAAATATTCAGGGTCCCAGCTTAGCAGAGTAATCTAATACAAGAAGTATTGTACAGGGATAGTACATACTTGTAAAAAGACATAATTATTCATAATTGTTCTGAGAACTTTCTTTGGCCAACTGCTTCCTTGTAATGCCCAAACAAGAGATTGCTTTATCCAACGTTGTTAAAGTGACAATTTGTTCAGACACTTGATCACCATGGTTGTCAATGTGCTGCCATATTGAGGACAAGGTTCAGAACAGGAAAGAGAGCTCTCTAGATATAGTCTGATATCTTCCTCTAGTTCATCTTATTTTGAAGCCTCTAAAATCTTCCCTCTAGCAAATGTTACTAGGTGCATTATGCCTTGGGGAAAAATACAATGAGGCATTTGCTGTCCACAGAAAGATTCTCCTCTCTTCCACACGCCAGTAGAAAGTTGACTAATTATCTAGGCCCACAATCTGTTCTTTTGCTTCTCTCCACCTCTATTCCGGAAAGATCTGGAAAAATAGAACAGCCACACACCATGGCTCTAAACAGTAATTGACTTTAGAACTGTCTGGAAGAAACAAATTCTGATGTCAAGGGGCCTGTGCTGCATATTCTGTTCTATTAGACCCCGGACAGTTCACTCTAAGGGCTGTTGGAATGATTATTATTATTTGTATTACTGAATTGCTTAGGAGCCCTAGTTATGGACCAGGAGCCACTGTGCTAGGCACTGTACACATAGAAAAATGAAAAGAAGGTCTCTCATGTAGTCAGGATCCTCTCCATAAAAGAGCTTTCTAAATCAGCGATGCACCCTACCCAGAAGTCAGGACGGTCTTCAGAAGAATCTTTTTCTGCTGATGCTATAGGAAGGCAGTCTTCCAGTCTCCAAATGTAGGTTCAAGTAGCAGGCATTGGAATAATCAAGTATGGATATCAAAAAGGCATGGATAATTGTGCCACAGGCCACATCAGACAAACTATTGCCTTACCAGACATAGGTGAAAAAAGGCACTTCTAACTACTGATGTCTCCTAAAAGTATGTTGCTGTATGTAAACACCAATCGGATGGCAAACTGCCTTGATTGTGGTTGAGCATTCTTTGTGGTTGAGCATCCAGCCTTCTGTTAAAGGGAAAGTCATTGTGAAGAGTGGAAGACCTCTTGGTGCTGAGGAAGCATGGGAGGAAAGGCAAGTAAAACTTTATGGCCTACCACCTTAAACAGTTTCTCTTGTACTATACACCTCTACCCCGCTATAACGCGATCCAATATAACACGGGTTCGCATATAGCGAGGTAGCAGCGGGGCTCCAGCGGTGCTTTAAGGGGTCCGGGGCTCCGGCTGCTGTGGGGAGTCCTGGGCCCTTTAAATCACCGCTGGAGCCCTGCTGCCCCTATCCCGGAGCTCGGCCGGCGACTTAAAGGGCCCAGGCTCCCCGCAGTGGCTGGAGCCCGGAGCTCTTTAAATCACCGCTGGAGCCCTGCCGCCCCTACCCCGATATAACGGGGTTTCAGCTATAATGCGGTAGGGATTTTTGGCTCCCTACGACCGCGTTATAGCGGGGTAGAGGTGTAGTAAGGGCTTGCTGTTGTGAGCCTTCCTGTGCAATCTCCCGTTTCTTCAGTGTGAGCTAAGCCTGTAAAGGAGCTGTAGAATAGTGCCCTACAGGGGTGAGTTCAGAGTTTCAAAAAGTACGTAAGTACATATCAATATATCTGTAACAGGTCTAGGATCTCCAACAAGTCTCTCCCCCCCCCCCCTTAAAATTACTTATAGAGCTTTGCAAATTCATTTCATAAAAGAAAAATGTAGCTCACATGCACTTTATAGACCCAAGTGGAGCATCAAATGCACTAGAGAAAGAGGAGCACCCCAGTTACCCTCATGTAACTGTTTTCTTCCAATCTTTAGGTTTCCAGTACATAGAATCGCAAACAGTACTTGAGAGAAATGACCCACTGGTTTCATCGCAACCCTTTAAAGGCTACAGCTCCTGTCACATTCAATTTCTATGGAGTAGCCAGCAGTCCTGCTGCAACAAAGATTTGCAAGTAAGTGTGTTTCAGACTAACACTAACTTCTTTTCCAGTGTTCAGGGTGTACCATGAACATCTTTTTAGTATGGTTTGAAGAGACTAGAGATTTGTAGGCTGGGAGACAATAAAGCACTGATAGCATTTTCAGCGTCCAGTTCTAGAGAATGATTAATCTAATCTTACAAATCTGATGCTACATAGCAAAACCTATTGTAACAAAACAGGCTAAAAGGACTAGACGTTCCATCACTTTTTTGCTGTGTGTGTGTGTGTGTGTATCCTATTACGGAAGGATTAGTGTAAGTAATGTACATAAATTAATAAACCAAAAGTGTTCTATTGTAGAGATAAGAGTGGCTTTGAAAAAGCATTTAAGTCAAGCTTATAAATACAGAGACATGATTACAATTCCATCTATTCACGTAGTGTAAAATCCCAATGCTGATTTTGCTCCCGCCATGTTAACTTCTCTGGAGAGGATGAACAGCAGTTCCTATGCATTCTAGTATACAAACACATGGCTTCGTGTACAAAAGCATGAGAATCAATTACACAGTGTGTGCATATATCTTTGATTAAGAGACTTCGAGTCAGGGCTCCTGGGTTTTATCCTTAACTTCTGTCACATACTTGCCCAAGGCCACACAGCAAGATACTTACCTTCTTTGCCTCCGTTTATGGATCTGAAATGAGTACAACACTGTTCTATTTCATGTGTATTGTGAGGCTTAATTCATGTCAGTGATGTAATTTGAGATCATTGCATAAACGTGATTATAAAAAGTTACTATTGGAACACGCTATTACAGATTTTCTTCTAATTATAATGTACTCTAGTAGTGCACCACTGATGCAGTGATCTACCTCTGAAGTTTTGGGTGGATAACAAATATTTCTGTTAGTTGGGTTAAAAAGCAGTTAAAATTGTTCATTTACTGACGTTGATAACTACTACATATAATGTGTCCAAAATGAGCCATACTTTAAACTGAAAATACCAATGCTGAAGTGAATGTTGGGTCCTAGAAGAGATTAAAAGACTTGTTAAATCTGATTCCTCCCTGAGAAGTGTTTGATATGTCTTTTTTCCAGTGGTTATCTCAGATATTAAATTGATACTGCAGTTAGCTAGAAGGATAAGAAATAGTGTGAGGATGTATAAAAGGATCACCTTTTGTATAATTTTTTTTTTTTTTAAACACAGTGACTTAAGATCATCCAGGGTACGACTCTTGGAGCTGTTTACTGACTTGAGTTGTAATCCAGAAATGATGAAGAATGCAACTGATTTGTACTTTTCACTCTTGCAAGGTAAGAACTTTGCAAGCTGCAAATAAAAGGTTTTGTATAATAATCTTAGGTTTAATAAAACTCATAATAATTTATTATACCAATTTATGTAGGGGCATTATCTGGTCACCAGGAAATACGGTGTCTCCTGTTCCTGTCACCCATTATAGCCTTAGAAGCCTCAGTCAGCATCCTGGCAGTACTCAGAGCATGGACAGTCCTTTGCTCTCTGCCTTTTAACCAAGTGTTTCAGGTTAGGTATCTCAGCCACCTTCTGCTTTCTGGGGAGGAGAGAAGTTGATTTTCCTTGTCTCTGAGAATAGACTGCGTTACTCCTAAAAACAGGTCTATGACTTCTCTCAGAATGGAGAGGATACCAAATCAAAAGTGTAAAATAGTCTCAGATCTAACATTAGGTAATAGTTTAGCTAAATAAAGCAGTCTTGCAACTACAGTTATCCAGGTGCTGATATGGCTTTCATCACTTTGGTATCTGAGTTTTCAGTAGATATTCACTTACATTTTATGGCTCAGATGTCTGTCATGCTTCCTCAGGCTCTTTCTTGCCCCTCAGCATGCCAAGATCTCAGTAACCCACTCTGAGTCAGCATTTTCCCTGTGTCCAAATTGCTCTACAGGCCAGTCAAGTAACAGCCTTGTATTCTGTGCAATGGGCAGAGCTGAGCTTAAATGAAACACGTTACTTAGGGATTTCTAGGCTAGATTGGCGTATGGACAATTACCCTTTTTTTGCAGCTGTCTTCATTTGAAATCTGCCCCCCTTCCAGCTCTATTGTACCTTATAAGTTTATTCAATATTATATGAACCTCTGCTTCCTTGTCCACCTCCATTCAATTCTTTCCTACATTGATTTGAAACAGATTTGAAATTACATACATAATAGCTTGCCTTTTCCACAGACAATGATTTGCTGTCTGTCGTGATGATTCATTAGTATGCTTATAGCCTTCTGTGTTCCAGCCTGACGTGTGAATCTTTCAAATCAAGTTAACTTTGGCTTAAATGACAATTGCTGATTCTCTCTATCAGCCTTAACCCCCCCCTCCCCCCGTGTGTTTAATCACTCATTTTAAAAAAATATTATCTATAATAAATATTCCTCTGTGTCACACAAGGGTCTTGAGACTGCAGACAAATCAGGTTCCCCGGATAGAGGAGAGGGTACTGTCCGAGCTGTTGCAGAGAAGACAGGTGGAGGAGGATGCCTTCAATAAAGAGGAATCCATACCCATTCACTGGGGCTTGTCTTCACAGTTAGTTCACTTGGTTTATTCCACTCAAGTTAGCCTACCCTGAGTGAGCGTGAAAACAACACTCAAGCTACCTAGAGTGATTGGGTACGCATCTAAGTTGTTGCTTCCCCACTACATTACTAATGTGAACAAGTGTTGGCAGTACTGAAGCTTCAACCACTCCCCTGACAGGCCAAATAACTCAAGCTTAAAGCACCGTCTAAGATTTGTGTATGTGGACAGGAATCAGGTTGGGGCAAAATTCAAATTATAAATTGAGCTAACACTGCAGTGAAGACGAGGCCTAAAACCTTTTCTGCGTCAAATACATTTTTCAAATATTTCCTACCAGTATTAACCCTACTGTAGATGATGACTCTTTCAAGCACCATGTTGATTGGACCTCTCCTGAGTATAGTTAGATGACAAGGTGTTTAAACTACCAGCAGTCCATTTACACCGGGAGCTGGGGCCGAATCATGCTTTGCAACAGTGAAATCTTCAGCAGAGGCTCACAGGGCTGAGGCAATAGTTTGTCTGAGCAGGGAGTGTCTGATAAGACCAGTTGATCTTGTCTGTTGTAAATCTTGTTCTCTGAACATTCTGAAGAACAAAAGCTTTAAGGAGTAACATAAATGGCCTGAGAGACTTTTTGCTGTTCCACCTGCCTACATCTCTACTTGCATCTTTACATTGCTGCCTTCTAATGTTTAAATTGCCTGTTGGAGTGTTTTGTTTTTTGGTTGTTTTTTTTTTTTTGGACAGGCTTTATAGTCTCACTGGATAACTCTTCTCAAGACTGCAAGTTGCGATATATTCAGAATTTTAAGTGGACAGACACATTACAAGGACAAGTTCCAAGGTATATGTTCTATGGAGTCTGCAATGTCTGTGACCAGGTTCTTTAGATTATAGTATAGATCTGCCACTATAGTAAATGTTGCACAATGCTGATCATTAAGTAGTTTCCAAGAGGCTGATTACGTTAGTGTTCTAATAATTGCCTTGCTCTTCTGCTTCATAGCTATTACAGTGTTGTTCTGGAGATGCCAAAGTGCCTCTTTCATTTATTTGAGGTTAAGACACTACATTGAAATGCTGGATCCAGTCTGTTGGGGCTTTCTACAACCCCTATTTACAACTGAAGACAGAATAACTATTATAGTGCAAAATGGGAAATAACCATACACAATTAATAGTATAAAATAAGAATTAGAATGTATATAATTGTAGTGGTTGCTGGTGCTGGAAATCTGAAATTAAGTCTTACTTTCTGGTGATATCCTCCCTCCCCTATTGTCTCACCTGAAATGTAGACAAAACTGTTCCGGTCAGGGTCTTTCTCTCTCCTTGTCTTCTGAAGCATATAGCACTCTTTTGGGTGTTGTAGATAAATCGTAAACAGAGACTTTAATGGGAAGATGTTTTTTCTGTGTTTTCCTATTGCCACATCCTTGCACCAAGCTGAATAAGTTATCCTTTAAGTGGGATGAACTTATCATAAGAGCATTTTAACATCTATGCAACTTTCTATTCTTACATTCTGTTCTCTTATTTGTAGTTAGTAACTGCATGCTGTAGAAAGCACTTCAAAATAGCTGCCAAGTTAACAGGTCTAAGACTACATCTTTTGTTTATTTAAAGTAGTTATCCCAGACCTAGGTTTTCCACAAAACAAGCATTTTAAAAATAAAAGAAAGAGAAATGTTAACCTCACTGAAAGTTCAATAAAGTATGTTACCCTGTTAATATAAAAATTCTACTAAACTCTCTTCCCAACTCCAGAAAAAATCCATGTGAAAGGCACATATTTGAACACCCTGTGAGATTTGTTCACCTGACTTCTTGGGGGATAAGCAAAAGATTAAATCATTATTAGAAAATCCAAGAAATAGAAAAGCTATAAATTGTAAGTTTGACATTTTAAATGAAAACCAATCCTACTTTATGCAGGTAGCTGCCATTTGTTATGTTGCAGAAGTACAAATTAGAGAACTTGTCTAAACAAATTGGAAAGCATGGAATTGCTTGTTTTCCTTTTTTAAATATATATATTTGTTCGTTTTTAGTGCCCAGCAGGATGCTGTGTTCGAACTGGTTTCCATGGGATTTAACGTGGCTCTCTGGTACACAAAATATGCATCGAGACTGGCCGGGAAAGAAGAGTAAGTGTTTTTTCCTCCTTTAGCAACTCTATTGCAATAATATCCCAACAAAAAGGAAATCCTAAGTTAAAGCAGACAACATTCAGATGCACTCTGGCTCCTTGCTTCCCCAAGAAACTTCCTTGCACTTGCAAAATGTAACCAACCACAATGCACACACCAAATTTCTCTACAGCACACTCCGATGTACAATTTAAACTTCAGCCATACCTAGATCTAACATTTTTATAAACCTATTCGCCACTGAAATCTAGAATATTTTATTTCTGCATAGATAAGTGTCACATTGGCGTGGAGGGTAGTTTCCCCCATGCTCACATAGCTCCTCCAACACCTCTTGCTGCCACGTCTGCCTCCCTGGCTCCCCAAGGTCTGTTGACTGGGCAGAGCTGAACATAAGGGAATTGGGCTAGCAGCATCGATGAACAAATTAACTGGCAGAACTTGACAATTTATTGGCTTTTCTTTACAGAGATAAAATAAGTTATAGCAAACAAAGGAAATAACTTTTTGCAACTCAAGATTGAAAAGTAGCCTGACTGAGACCAGGGGCGGCTTTATTTTTTTTGCCACCCCAAGCACGGCAGTCAGGCAGCCTTCAGTCCGCTGGTCTCACAGATTCGGCGGCATTTCTGCGGGTGATCTGCCGGTCACATGCGTACCTGCCACCGAATTGCCGCCGAAGCCGCAGGACCAGTGGACCTCCTGCAGGCATGCTACCGAAGGCTGCCTGACTGCTGCCCTCACGGCGGCCAGCACGCCGCCCCCCGCGGCTTGCTGCCCCAGGCATGCGCTTGCTGCACTGGTGCCTGGAGCCGTCCCTGTCTGAGACATTCTCTAAATGAATGTGTGTGGGAAGTTTCTAGTTACTGTGGCTCTTCACTTGGAGAAGCCTGAAAAACATTAATGTGAAGGGAAATCTTAGCGTTTTCAATGCAAACTATTAAATATTGGACTGAAAATATAGAAAATTCAGTTCTCCTACAATGAGTGTGTTTAATGACTGGATTTAGTTTTGAAATTTAAGTGTGAAATAGAGGGATTGTAATTCTGGTTTAAATGCAGATATAAACACAGCCACTACAGTGTCCTCATAAGTAGCATTTTGCTGAGGAAAAAGTACAGCCAGGCAATGCTGATAAAGCTCAGGCAATAAAACTAAGAATAGTGAACAAGTAGAACTACTTTAAAAGAGTAATGTATGAACAAAATCCCAGGTCTTTGGGCTTTTAGATATAAGGCGATTAACCAATGTATGAGTAGTCAGTTTTGTAAGATTATGAGCTGGTACATAACTCAGCTGTGTAATATTAACTTGAATGCAGAATTACATATTTCATTAACAATCTTTCAGTATAACAGAAGATGAAGCAAAAGATGTTCACAGAAGCTTGAAGATAGCAGCTGGGATTTTTAAACATTTGAAGGTAGAAAACATACCTTTATTCCTATTTCTTAAGTTGTAAGTTTCTCTGTACAGAGACTTTGTCTTCTCCTTGTCCTGTACAACACTCAGTGAATTGTCAGTGCATTACAAAAGACTTTTAAGAGACTTTTTTGGTTCATATGCAGAGGATTTATGCAGTCATAGTGGAGCTTTTGAATGCTGCGGAAAATAATGTACCATCAATGAGTCACGCTAATAGTCAGTTGCTATGGCTGGCCGTTAATCAAGGTAGAAAGGCAATGGCAATAGTGTATTATATTGACATGGCCAGCCATCACCTTGACTCCTTCACTTGTAATTTGTACCCATTTAGTAATAGAAAATGTATCTTGGAAAAAACCCTGACATTTAGTAGTGGTGTCTTAGATTTGAACTAACCTTGAAACTGACTGTCTCTCTACCCTTAGGACAGCCATATCCCCAAACTGATTACACCTGTAGAAAAGGGAAGGGATTTAGAAGCTCGACTTATAGACTCCTATATCATCCAGTGCCAAGCTGAAGCTCAAGAAGGTAAAAAAATAATGGGGGTATTTATCTGTGGATTTCTTTTGTGGTTCATCATGTCTCCTGGATAGTGACAGCCAGTGTTCTCCCAAAGTACTGTGGTTTGGGGTTGATTGCGTAACCAGAATCAAACTCTTCACTTTTGTTAAACAAATGGCAATAAAACATTACAAATATTTGTTGATCAGTTTTAGAGACATTCTCTAGGAGATTCTCGTTTCCACACTTCTCAGGCACCCTTGCTTAATACAATATGAAAATGTCTAATAAACTAAAGGTCCAAATATTTTGAAATAAAAAAATTGAAAACTAATCTCACTGCAGCGTACCATTGCCCATTTTGTCAAGTTTTCTTTTGTACTCATTTCGAGCTATTCTATTCAGACAGTAATTATGCCTTAATTTTGTCTATAACATCAATTGTTAGAGCACACCGTTATTTCTATGCTAATAGAACTCAAGTATTCAAACTGCTAAATCCCTAATTAGGTTTGATGTGACTGTCTGCAATTACATTTTATTAATGGTTTTAGTGACAATTGCCCGAGCTATTGAGCTGAAACACAATCCTGGTCTGATAGCTGCTCTAGCCTATGAAACAGCCAATTTCTACCAAAAAGCTGGTAAGTTAAATTACAATGTCATTTGAGTCCTTAGTGATTTAGTTTGCATGTCTTGCAGAAAAACAAACAAACAAACCAACCACTAACATTGCAATCAAGAGCGGTAACCCTGCTGCAATTTCTTTGTGGACAGCGTTAACAGCATGTCTGTGCTTCCAGTCAGTAATTTGAAATCATGTTCTAACAGACAATCATCAAGTGTCAATTCTCAATATAACAGATTTATAGTGGGTGGGTCTAGAGGCAGTGTCCTACTAGCTCTGTGGGTGATTTTGTTCTGGTTCTGTTCGTCAGCTAGCTAGGATAGTAAGTTAGTAGACAAGGGGGTGGATGGAGGTTAAAGGATTGTTTTGAGATGTTCAACAGCAGCTCCTTAGGGCAGGACTGACTATTTCTGAGGAAAAATTAGTTTCTGATAGGGCACTGGTAAATACTGGTTTAAATTGGGAAAAATAAAATTAGTATTAGAATATACTAATGAAAATTACTGAAAAATATTTAAAAGTTATATAATAGTTTTGCAGTAATATTGTCTGTTTAATTTTAATTAAAGGAAATAGAGAAAAGCTTCAACCTAAAGCTTTATTCTTTTGCCTTGGCTACCTCAAACAGAAACTGAAACTTTTGAATCTGGGAATTCCTAGTCTTTGTTTAGCAATGAAATTACATGTTTGTTTAGCAAACAAAAGGGAATTCCCAGATTTTTTTAAAAATTGGGTTTTTTAGTTGTTTTTGTATTGATGCTTTCATGCAGCTTAAGTTTCTTTGCAGCTGCAGGTAAAATTGGTGCACTTCATTGAGATTATAGCTATTTCATACTTATGATCTATGGATACACTTAACTAGACCAGAGTGCTGCTTTGAATGTTTGTTTTTTTAATGATTTAGAAAAAAAAATTGTTTATGTAATTCTAGATCAAATGTTATCCAGTTTGGATCCAGCGTACACTATTAAATGGAGAAAGTACTTACAGTTGAAGGCATGTTTCTATATGGCTTATGTGAGTACTCTGTAACCAATCTGTGAACACTTAAAAGGGGTTTCTAAAGGTTATCTAGGAGTTAGATGGGGAATGGGAGTCAATTATCATTTGTCCTTGTCACCACATAACAAAATGAGATATTGCAGTCCCTGTAGTACTTAAAAATACGCTGTTCTAGAATAAGATGCAATTTGTGTTGTGTAGAATTTATTGTAGTTACTCACCTCCACAGGTGGGGCAGGTCAGTTTGAGCATTTAATACTTGTGCTCTATTCTCTGCACTGATTCCCAATCTACTTCCAGGTGTAATTCAGAGTTGATCACATCTCTGAATTTATGGATGAGATAGGACCTGATAATATCAGTTGCCACCCCAAAGCCTTCTTGTAGGATGCGTGTTCTGCTAGAGCCTGGTGGATCTCCTGGCATAACATTCTCAATCAACAATCAGCAGCTCTGTAATTAGTTGCTGCTTGCAGTCAGACCATATTTTAGTTTTAAAAAGAAAAATACTTGGACTTTCTCTTAGTTTGGGTCTGTAGCCAGAGGCTGTTTATCTCATGAATGGTGAGAAAATTAAGGCTGGGCTGAGTTTGATTTGTGCTATTTGTTAAGACCATCTGTGTGTAATTCTTATAATATGGACAATGATGGAATAAGGTAATGCTGTCGGATTTGGTTTCACAGTACAGCAGGGAATATATATGTTGCATCTTGAGAATATTTATATTGGGCCTAATCTAAGTGGAGTGGGCTTTTATAAATGAAAGGGAGCATTTGATATTGCACTTCAATAGGAACCCTATTTGAGCATAAGAGCCCAAAATAGTCTTATGAAAGGGAGAAAATGGGAGTGTGGTGAAGTCCCACTTAGACCTTGCCATAACAATTCAGAAAAGCTGGAATGTTTGTTGCCTTTCTGAATTGAGTGAAGTTTTTTCATATATTTAAAAAACCCGAACACTCATGGTACCTGATTCTCACCATGAAAACAACTGGGTTTCTTCCCTGCTGAAGGGACTTGTGCACCAGTTAGTGCTGCTTCCTGTTACTTCCCTAGACCCTCCTGCTGGTTGACTGTGCAACTGACAGCAGCCTCAGAGAGATGCACATCTTGCTATTTTGGATTGTGTTCAGCTATACACGATCCCTATCCAGTGAGGAGGAAATATAGCAAAACTGATGTGTTGACAGGAAATGTGCGATTGATGCCTGTGCCTATATCATTCTCTCTCATCAGTCATACTGCTACCATGGTCAAACTCTGCTGGCCAGTGATAAATGTGGAGAAGCAATCAGATCTCTGCAGGAATCAGAAAAATGTAAGTATGGTTTCCACATTCTCAAATCCCTCATGGAACATCTGCTGTTGTACTGTTTAGAGAATATTTAAAAATCTTTAGTTTTCATACTTCACAATAGCTCATAAAATATACAAATATTTGTATTAAAGCCAAACAAACACATTATCAGGGTTGTATTAGAGTAGGCAATCAATGCATACTAGCTCTCTAGAAGACCTTTAGAGTCCTTAGTGAGTCCAGAGTCCACAAATGTGTGATACAAAGAAAATACGCAACAAGGAGACCAATGTCCATTTAATCTGCTACACCCCTATTCGGGGAGGAGGATATAAACACTGTGGTAAGTCATGTTCCTGGTGGATTGGCTGCACATTGTACTGAAGCAGAATTAGGCACGTTCTTACTAAACCTGTAGGTGTTACAAGTGCTGGGCTGATAGATGTTGCTTAGTGAGGCTGAAGACAGTTTGTTTTCCACATTCTAAAACTCTTCCATTTCCAACTGCTGTGGTCCAGTGATAGAACGAATGGGTCTATTTAATATTACATGAGTTACTTGCGATAAAGGATAAAGTAGAGATATGAATACCCATATTGAAAGGTACAGTACTTGGGTTATAGTGAGTTCAAGAGCAGTTTAAATGCATTTCTTTGCACTTATTTGATCCTACTTCTAATGTTGTCTTCTGTGAACCTGTGGCTCTCTTCTTGATGGTGTTGTAAACTTGTATTAGAATTTCTGACTCAAAAATCTGGGTGTAGAAAACTTACTTTCTTTAGTTCAGACTTACCTAATATTACAGGTTCTGCACCCTCATTTTGGCCTGGGCAGACTGAGTGTGCATGGTGGTATTGAATGTCTTAATAAGATGCAGTTAAAGACTGGAGTTCCTGTGAGAGGGAGTTCTGTCAGTTTGGGGAAGGAGAGAGATCTGCAGGAAGACTCCGTCAGGGATCCAGAGAGGAAAGAGATCTTTAGAGGACCAGGATCACAAAGGACTGTGGAATGAACTGTCCATGCTAGCCAGGTTAAAAAGGCCTGGATGGAGCAACCTGTACTGGGGGGCAGAAGCCTTAAGAGGGAAGGGACTTAAGGAAATGCCAGGCAGCAGGACTGGGTTTGAAACAATCTCTGAACCCATTAAAGGTCTGAAGAACTTTGGTGTTGGGAAGACTTGTTTTAAGTCGACATTTGTATTCTGATCTTTTAATAAACCTGACCTCAAAAAGGGATGTTGTGTGACTTGCATGACAGTCTGGGTGCAGTTATTGGAAAGCCCAAGAAAGGGAAACAGAGGCAGGGTCCAACTCCTTGTTACATCTGGTAATGCAATATTCCATTTTATTATAATGTACTTTATCCCATTAGCCTAAAAACACCAGATAAATGGAAGCTTTTGGCAGGCTTCAAAAAAGTGTGTCTTAAAGATGGCACCATCAGGAGCTCTTTAATTACCTGAAAATCATAAGGGAATCGCACAAAAAGTGGAAGCATGGATTAATTGCTAAGGAAGAGTAACAAAAGAATAGCACAAGCATGTAGGGACAAAATCAGAAAGGTGAAAGAACAGAGTTACACCTAGCAAGGGACATAAAAGGCATTAAGAAGAGGTTCTTTAAATATATTAGGAGCAAGAGAAAGATGAAGGAAAGTACTTAACGTTGTAGTTATGTTCCTGAAAAATGTGACTTTAAGTGAAACGATGTTAAGCGAATCCAATTTCCCCCTAAGAATTAATGTAAATGGGGGAGGGGGGGTTAGGTTCCATGGAATTTTTTTTTGCCAGACTGTAATAGGTCCTTGCCGGGGCTCGACCCTTCCGGGCAGGAGGGGAGCCACACTGACTCACTATTGTGGGAATAAGCAGTCCGTTAGTCCAGAAGCTCCGGCCCGCTGGTACAGGGGCGGAGCAAAGCCGACAGCTAACTCGGGGCTCAGGCCCTCAGGGTGGGGCTGAGCAGACAATCGGGAGTCCGGGGTTCAGGCCCTCTGGTGCAGGGGCTGAACAGTCGAGCAGCTAAGGAGCCCAGGCCCTGGATCAGGGCGGGGCACACAGTTAAAGCTCAGGCTCTTAGTTGCAGGGGCTGAGCGGGCAAAGCCGTCTAGGAGCCCAGGCCCTGGATCAGGGCGGGGTAAACACAGTTCAAGCTCAGGCCCTTGTTCGCAGGGGCTGAGCGAGCAAGCAGTTCAGGGGCCCAGGCCCTGGATCAGGGCGGGGCAAACACAGTTTAAGCTCAGGCCCTTGTTCGCAGGGGCTGAGCGAGCAAGCAGTTCAGGGGCCCAGGCCCTGGATCAGGGCGGGGCAAACACAGTTTAAGCTCAGGCCCTTGTTTGCAGGGGCTGAGCGAGCAAGCAAATAGGTAGGATACGCCTAGGCTTCTGTAGCCGAGCGTTGGGTGAGGGGGAAGCCTGCCACCCGTGAGCACGGGGGTGGCAGGGGGGAACGCAGGCCCACCCACTCCACTGCGTTCCAGCCCGGGGCCCTAGCAGCGAGTGCTGCCCCGGCCGGGC